GAGTAAAGAGGTCAAGTTGATACTTCAACTTTTACCAGAGTGTTTTTAAACTGCAGGATCTAAACTTCTACTGAAGTAACAAACATGGGAACTTTAGACACCGCTGGCTTTCTATCAGTCTTCTGATCTTCTTTCTCTCCTCCTCTTTCAGTTTAACAATAATCTGATATAAAATAATCTAAATCTCTTCCACATTAGTATGAACAACATGAAAACTTACAATTTAATAATTAAATCAGATTCTTTGTTTCAGGCGCCTGTTGGAAGTTTATGGATGAGATTCTGGGATGATTCAGGTGATCTGTGAGCCGTCATAGATTGTGACCCATAGGAGGCGCTAGATGTTTCTCCTCCTTTAGGTTTAGCTATGAATCCAGTGAAGTTAGTAGACAGCAGACTGATAGGAGGGCTCACAGATCTTATACTAACACCGGTATAATCTTATCATACATATTATTATAACCATTATTATTGTTATTATCTCACCTAATTACGCCTTAAAAAGGTTAAACGCCAAATATTTGGAGCTGCCAGTAAAAACCAGCTGATAAATAAACAGGCGGTCATCTCCTCCTCCATCATTCTCTGATCATGCAGATCTTGTCTCATTCAGTTCCTTTTACTTTTTTTCTAGAATGAGGAACTTTCACGGATCCAAACTGAGTGATAGAAATGTAGATCTATAACTGGAAGTCTATGCTCAGAAATCACAACCATAAAACAGCCAAACAACTTAAAACTATACTGACGATAACCAACTATGTGCAGATCTAAACTAAAGGTCACCGATCAGTTCTAGAAGCATCTTTAGATGAACCCTGGTTGATCCTGCAGAACCACTGAACCAGATCAGCTCCTTATGAGGAGATTCAATCATTCTGGTTCATTTGATCTGAGTCTGTTTCCTCCTGCAGCTGCAGCCAATAGTCTGACTGACTGACTGACTGACTGACTGACTGACTGACTGACTGACTGACTGACTGTTGATTAATTTGCTTTATCTCACATTTCTGCTCCTCATCTTTAGTTAAACAAACACATCAAAGCTTTTTTTTATTAACATGGAAACAAAGCAAACATGGGGCGGGGCGGATGTTTTCCCCCAGAGCCCCGGATCTCACTGCTGAGCTGATCTGAGTAAAATGTGCAGTACTGGGATTCACCAGATGGTGGCAGCAGCGCAGCAAAGCAGCCTGTAGCAGTGGAGAGGAAGAAGTTGTTACCAATGGCTGTTGCTAAACAGACTGATGCTTCAGGGATGTGAAACTCTGACTGACTTCCAGACCTTCTTGGTCCCGGTGTTCCATGGAATTCTGTCCCCTCTGCGTTTAGAGGCGCATTGAAGCCAGAGAGGCGGCCATGATGGATGGAACCATTTTACTGCACCGCTGATCGATTTCTGGCTAAAATCAGCTCCTATAATCATCTCACTGTTTAACATCCAGTTTAATCAGCAGCTGCTGTTCACTAAACTGTAAAATAAAAAAATAAATGAGGTCCTTTGAAGCTGTTTTGTGTTTTTTTTATTTTAAACACCAAGAGTCTGATTCCAGATTCTGTCCCTTAAACCCGACAGAAATAAATTCAGTCCCAGTTTTCCAACATGTAGAGAGTTTTTATCAGAGGATGGAAAGTGGCTGATAGCAGGACACAAAAACCACGAGTTCCTGAAAAGTTTAGACTTTCAAGTAAATCCTGTTCTAATGTAAAATATGACAGATTACTTATTAGAACTGTAATTTACTGTCATGTGTTTTTACTGTTTTTATATATTTTTACTATTTTTCAAAGCTGCACTTTAAAAAAACTGAAATTATCCACAGAGCTTTTTCTAAGGGAAATTTCCTTTTGTTTTACACTGTAAACAAAATGACAAATAAATCTGTCTAAGTCTAAAATTGATACTACATGACGTCACATGATGATTTCTGAGAATTTTCCAACAGTTGCTCTTTATTTCCCAAAGATAAGAAAGGAGAGAATGGAGAATTCAGCTGCCTGAAATAATCTATTGCTCCTCCTTAACATGGGATTAAACTAATTTACCTGCAAGTTTTTAACTGTGTTTATTTCTTTCTTCATCAACAACAAACTGTGGATTTGGTGACATTTGATCATTATTTATGAGAGGAGAATAAATATTTCCCTCTATAACCATAATCCTCCATGACATCAAATATTTATCCTTTCTTTGACAAACATTAAGTTAAATAAAATGTTTGTAAGAAGATCACGGACCGATGACGTCAGTATGACGAAGTTGCCGAAAACCAGCGGAACGGACATTTGAATTCCAGTGTTTCCTCCGTGACTAGTTGGCCGTTACACCCGCTACCAAATTCCAGCGGCCCTGATCTGTGCAGACTGAGCGGCCCCCTGTGCCCCCCCTGCCCATCGGGAGGTTCAGACCCGCTGCTTTAGCAGACTGACGGTCAGTGCTGAGGTTTAGGAGCCGGTTTGGACCATAAACTGCTGACGGTTGGTGGCCGCCATCTTGGATGGGTCTCTATAATAACTCCCTGAATTGTTTCGTTGCAAACAGCAAAGATTCAGGAAGTAAAAACATTCAGATCATCAGTTTTCCTGCGTTTGAAACATTTTAAATAATATGAAGAAATGTGGGAAAAATTTTTAGGCTTTTTAGCAAAGAGGATGAATGTATAAATAAATAAATAGACTTTATAAAAAAACACAACAATGATGAGAAAAATATGAGTTTAGGGGATTTAGAACAAAGAGGCGTTCATCGCTCTGATGGTTCTACTGGAGCTCAGCTGGATGGCGTTCATCCCTCTGATGGTTCTACTGGAGCTCAGCTGGATGGCGTTCATCCCTCTGATGGTTCTACTGGAGCTCAGCTGGATGGCGTTC